AATTGATTTTTGTAGAAATCTTCCATGTTAGGAATTCTTTGTGATTATGCTCAATCACGACTCAATCAATATATTCCACTAATGCTTAGGCAGACTCAACCAATGCTTAGGTGTCTTGAAATGTGCTCAGCTAATGCTTAGGTGTATTGAAATGTGCTCGACCAATGCTTAGGTGTATTGAAATGTGCTCCACCAATGCTTAGGTGTATTGAAATGTGCTCAACCAATGCTTAGGTGTATTGAAATATGCTTAAGCATTCTCAAATGTGATTAGCCAATGCTTAGGCACTCTTAAATGTGATTAGCCAATGCTTAGGTGCTCTCAATCAATTAATAAGATGATTGTCATCAGGCCGATCATCAATTAAAATTGTAATCGGACTGATTACTAATCACAAGTGTGATTTCAAAGGTGTTTACTCAATGTGTAATCAAAATGTTATCGTCATCAGGCTGATCATCAATCAAGTTGTAATCGGGCTGACTACTAATCAAATCAAATCATTTATCGTTCATCATGATGCTCAAAAGTCTCAAATGCTCATCAAGAGGCTCAAATGCATAATCATCTGCTTTGGAAAGAATCGATTGCTCATCACAAGGCTTGAGTAGATAATTATCATCTAGCAAATTGATCTGCAAGAATTCGTATCATGTCAAGTTCTATCACGCGATGTCAGGCCTAACGCGATACGGCAGTGTTTATTGCACCACGACAATTCTGTCATGACGCGCTAAATCGGATTAAAGCTTTTGAACTTTCACTGGTCATTCGGCTTCGCTGCTGTTGCTTGTGCCTTTTTGCTCAATCAAATCGCCTTAAATCTCTTGTAAAGGTTACTCGTCCGTCAGGGACTTAGTGTACATGCATCTATATTTTGGACTATAGGATTTTGCTCATGTTTATAATTTTCTTGAGGTTGATCAAGGCTTGGTGTTCTTTACTCATTGTGTAAGACTCAATGTGTTTAAATCAACTCTACTCAATGTGTTTTGACACGTGTGTGCAGACTTCACTCAATGTGATATGACTCAATGTGTATACTCAACTCGAAGTGGTGATTGTGTTGTGATTGTGCTCGTGCAACTCGAAAATGCAGAAAAGCAAAAAATTTCCATCATTTTTATGGAGGGTGCCGACTTTCTCCTGAAAAGAAAGGACGTGAAAATAAATTAAGGTAGAGTGTTGGTGAAAATGAAGTATTTGAACTTCCTCAAAAGGAAAAGAGATGAAAAGAATATGAATCAAGTGACGATGCATGTTAAGTGAGCTTAATCAAGCGTATGTGTTAATCATTGTATCTCATGGTGCAAGGATTGTAGTATCCTATACTACGTCAGTGGATGACTCGATGATGAATGTATTTGGGTAACTTAGGAACGGAGGCTAAGTACTTCATACTTTGTGATGCAATGATGATTATGATAATAAGTGATCTAAGATGATAAGGCATGCTTCAGGGTTGTATCAAGATTTCATGACAAAGGGTTCCTAAAGGAAGGATTATCTAGCTATGTATTTGTATTGTGTGTGAAAGTGACACTAAGGTTAGGCTGTAAAGTCTAAGGGTGTGGAAAATATTTTGAGAAGAGCCAAATGATGGTGACTCTAATCTACTTTGCTTTGTCCCTAATCGTATATGTCAAATCCATTAGAAATATAACAACGACTAATATATATAACAACGAATAATATATATGACAAATATGACTAAAACCATAAGAAATATAATGGGAACAAAAGGAACATGATTCCTTATTTTGATTGTGTTTGCTTGCAACTATAAAACAATAAACACTTTAGTAACTTTAAGGAAAATAAATAATAAAATGGAATTAATTCAAATGAAAGTAAAGTTGATTTGGGGCCAAACCCTCAAAAAGTTCTACCTTTCACGCCTTGGTTTAAGTATAGAACTTTGGGTAAAGTATGGAATCCAGGGAGTGCATAGGGGATGAATTGTGAGAATAGGGAAGGCAAGTATTTAGGCTAGATCATAAGAGAGAAAGAGAGAAATATTTAGTGCCTCGAAACTGTGAAATCAGCCCTGTATTTATAGAAGAAATGAGAGGGGTGAAGTCCAAAACCCTAGAAATGAGGCGCCGCAGAAGAATAAATTGTCGTGCCACGGCATTTCTGTCGTGGTACGGTATAGGCTCCCGTGGCATGGTATATCTGTCGTGGCATAACAGTTTATAATTCTGAAAATCTATTTAAAATTCGTTTTTATCTTATATTTCATGTAAAGTACGGGATAATTAAGCGTCGTTTCAGTTATTCTGGACTCATTTCAGGTTTAGGGTTTTAACATTTATTAATCAGGCTCAATTAATAAATAAACGAAATGGATTAAAAATGGTTTGGGCTAAAATGAGGATTGTACTATGCTTGACTAGATACTTGGACAGGAATGTGGACTGATTTGTAAACTGTGTTGGATTAATTATGGATTTAAGCACTCCCGAGATTAAATACTCAACCCGACCAATAATGGCGGTGAAAGGTTGTTCATCATCGGGTTTGGTTTTGGGGAGACCTTTTTAGATGTCTACAGCTAGCAGCTACCAAATACTTTCTTATGGGGAGTAAGCTGTATAGGAAAGATCCTAAAAGCATTAAACTAAGGTGTGTTAGAACAAAGAAAGTGTTAACCATTTTAACTGAAGTTCATCATGGAATTTGCGGGTCATTGACAGGCAGTATTTTAGGTCGTTACTAAGATACCTCTATCAATGATATTTGTAGTCCTAAACATGCAACTAAACGAGTATAGAGGCAAGTGAAGGGTCGAATACAGGGAAACGATTAAGCACCGCTATTTATCTCCTAATGTTAATCTACTTCGATCAAGAAGTATGGTGGGTAAAGTAATGACTAAAGGGGATAGAATAACAATTAAAACAAGCACTAGGGGGAAGGATCAAACATGCTATGAATTCAACGAAGTTAGGCATCGGAAAATAGGTTTACATGTAACCCAAGCAACTCATACAAGGCAATATCAAGAATACTCTCTAATCACCTATCGGGATTAAGAGCTATCCTAGCTAGCATACACTTACACTATCGTCATAAGGCATACAAACTAAGGTCATGCAATAATCAATCACCTAATGACTATTCCTAAATCACACTATCGTCATGATTTAGTTCAAGTCACTCAACCACAACATGCATATGGCCATAAACATGGAGTAGCCAATAAGTATGAGCACAAGGAAGGTTTAATCGCAAATATTCCAAATTAACCTAGCCTAACATATATCAAACTTAAAGCATGCCTTCACCAAACCCCTAGCAACAAGAGAACTACTCACAATCCATAGCCCTAACTACAATTATACTAATCAACATAGTAACTAAGGAATTAATGAGAAAGATGATAACTTTATCAACTAAACCAACAAAGATAGGAACTTTAAGCATAAAAACAAGAGAATTAGTAGAAGAATACCAATAAATTCATTGTATACTAAGTGGGAGGACAAAACCCATTCAAGTTCCAAAAAGCTTCTTCAAAAATACCCAAAAATAACTAAGGTTTTTGGGAAATAGAAAATTACACTAAGATCTATTGAGGATTTTCAATACCCCTTGGCTAAAAACTAGATCTAAGAGTTTTTACCATAAAAACTTCTATTACAAGCCTTTTTTTTCTCTTCTAAAGTATGCTGAATTTCTAAAATAAAAATTGCTACCTTTCTCTCTCCTGTTTGCTGTTTTAATCTAATTTCAGATTTTGGATTGTCACAGAAAGGCGCGCCCGCGCCTAAAAGTAGCGCGCCCGCTCCAAATATGGGTATAACGGGATTGGGCCAGCTCAGCACGGGCCCGCACCTAAGATCGCGCGCCCGCGCCCAATGGCGCACCCGCACCTAGGGTTGCGCGCCGCGCCAAAACGCTGGTGCAATGTTTTCAATCCTTGCTCTAGTTCCTTCCCAATCCGAATCACCGGCAATAATCTGCAATTACAAAATAGGAAGGCAAAGCGTAATACAACGAAGGGGAAGGGGAGTAAAGACTACCTAAACCATATAGAAACACATTACGCAACACATAGGTAGACTACTCAAATTAGGAAAAACATAACAAAAGCACACTAGAATGAACCAAATTACAGCTGAAACTACTAGAAAAGACTACCCTAGGAGTGACATAAATGTCACTCATCAGTCATACCAAGCAGGGACTAAGATGAGATGGTTAATCCATTACATGGGATTTTATTGGCCTTCAGTTAGACAAGATTGTATGTCGTATGCAAAAGGTTGTAAACAATGTCAACGCTTTAGACCTATAAGTAGGGCTCTAACAATAAAATTGCACCCCATTGTCAACCCCTGGCCTTTTAGAGGTTGGACAATGGATGCAATTGGGCCTATCAAACCTCCCTCATCGGCTCACCATGAGTATATCCTGATATCTACAAACTACTTTACAAAGTGGATTGAGGTCCAAGCTTTTCAAAGCTTAAATGCAAGGGCGGTAATCTTGTTCTTAGAAGAGAAAATCTATACAAGATACGGGATTCCAGAATCCGAAACCGTGGATCAGGCAACCTTGTTTACAGGACATGAGTTCAATTCCTATCTCAAGGAATTCGAGATTCAAAAGATTCATTCAACCCCTTATTTTGCTCAGGCAAATTGACAAGCCTTAGCCACTAATAAAGTAATTTCTAAAGGGATTGCTAAAATGGTGGATGAAAATTCCAAAAATTGGCATATTCTCCTGCACTATGCTACTTGGGCATATAGAACGTCAAAGAGAAATGCAATAGGAACTACTCCTTACTAACTAGTGTATGGGCATAAACATGTTGTACCAGCAGAGTTAAGCACTAAGTCTACCAGGATAGCTAAATAGATGGGTATAAGCTAGGAAGACAATTAACACTCTATGTTCATTGAATTTATGGATGTTGAGGGTGAAAGACTCCAAGAGCTAGCTAAAATCGAAGCCTAGAAAAAACAAGTAGCAAAATCTTATAACAAAAAGGTAAAACATAAATTCTTTTGTAAATGTTCTTTCAAATGGGATGGTTCATCCATTGTTCACAAAGTCATGTCTGGGAATGCCTATTTACTACAAGAGTTAGATGGGGAAATGTTTCCAAGGGCACTTAATGGAAAGTTCTTAAAGTAGTACAACCCAAATATATGGGAACAATATGAGAATTTACAACAAAAGCATCCATCATTAGAGGATTTTGATAATAAATGAAATATATTGTTTACAAACGAAGGGACTTTTAAGCCATTGCTTTGCGTTTAACCTCATCCAGAAGAACCTTGCATTTGTTCATCAACGCCATTTGAATACCGTGACGATCAAACTGAGACAAAGTTTCTTGAACCATTGAAGCACTCTTAGATATCTGGCCCTTCAATTATTTCTTCTCTCTTCTTCGATCCAGGAGCTTTTGTTTTGGCCTGAAGTTTCTTCTCTTCTTCCATAAGCTCATCGATCTCGGATCGCAAGTGGTACATCTCCACATCTAACCCCAGGTCTTTCTTCTTTAAAAGATCTCATTGCTGGAAAACTTTAGACACTTGTTGGGATATATCAGAGATCATTAAAGGAGGAAGAGATGATCTTCTGTTGGCTAGTTCAACAGCACATGTCTGGCAGGCAACGAATAAGTCCTCCCATACAACAGGATCATTATTTCCCAATAAACGAACTTGAACCATAAGTTCCAGAGATAGCTTAATCTGTGCACTTGGCGCTTCTTGCAACACTAATCTCTCGCAAAGAGCTAGGACTTCTTCAAGAAGTTTGATCTCTGGAGATTTAGATGCTGGGACATATATGTTCAACAATAAAGCGTTAGTCAAATAAAGACTAAATAAGCATGATAACTATACAAGGCTAGAATGCTCACATTCATCTGATGCTTGCACTGTTGAAGTCTGGTTGTTTTGAATTCCTCGGTCAAAGGTTGTCAGCGCTAAAAACAATAAAGCATAATAGACACCAATAAAGAGGCAGAAAAGGAAGACTTATGTCATTTACTCAAATCTGGAGAAGTACTATTTTCTGAAAGAGCTTCCTCATAAAGACTTGATTTTGCAATATGAGTCTGAGGCTCAGCATCCCTAGTCTGAACATCTGTGGTGTTACTTTGCACCATTACAAGAATGGACTTTGTGATGTCTGGCTCAATTTCATCATAAGCCTCCACCTCTAGTTTTAGTTTTGTCTTCTCACTCCCTATAGTAGTATTCTCATTAGAAGTGGCTACCTAGAACTACTTGTTCAGTTGCTTGGTTAGGCAGTTTGGTGAGATGTTTAGGCAGTTTGATGAGATAATTTGGGTAGATGTGGTTGGGTGTTTTGGGTTGTTTGTGGTGCATTCGTAAGCAAAGGTTGGACATTTTCATTTGCTTTGGATGGCCTAAACTCACTAACAAATTCATTCAATATATATAGTGGGTTCACTCACTGCCCCAAACCATATATAAATAACATCACTATCAGCAAACCTTCATATGCATACTTAAAGTTTGGATATATAAAATCTAAAGGATGATCCAAAGCCCTACCAAAATCTTCAAACTCCATCACAACATCCAATAAACAACATGTTTCAATACTAACGACAACATCAACTTCCCTCGCCAAATGATGAAATCGAATGATTTTAGTATCATCACCCATTCTTCATAATCAAAAATGCATTTTAACAACAAATCAAAAACCTAGAAATAATTAACTACACATAAACCTAGATTAAACTAGCATTGACACTTGACCTTGGAATCTCAAACACACCCATATATATATTGAGTTACATATGAAAACGCACACAAATTGAGCAATCACATATATTCAGACGCATATTGTGCATAATTCAAGGGCGGCCTAATCTATCAACAATTGAACATGAAACTCATCTTTGATCAAATTAAACAACACCTCTATTAACAAAGCTAAAAATAATATTAATCGATTTACACAAAATTGAAAGTTCAAAGCAATACTAACCTTCTCTATCAATCAAGAAGCGTTAATATGCCGGGAATTTGTCGAAATCATGCATTAGTTAGGGTTTTGCAGATGGTTAAGAATAGGGGAGAGCGTTAGAGAGGATGAAGAAGGTGAAAAATCAAATTTTGCCTTTGTTTTGGGCAGTTGGAGGGAGAGTTATTGAGTGGGGGGAGGGGGGGTTGACAATTTAATCAAATCCTACTAATTCAGATTAGTGTATATTAAAGGTAGTTAAATGTTTATTTAACGGATTAATCATGATAGTTAATTAGTTCAAAGTACAGATGTGCCACTAATAAATATAATTAGAGCAGGTTTACCATTACCAAAAGCCAAAACCTTAGGTGCATCATTAATTTCCCATTAGTTTAATCCATATTCAAGTTATTTGTGGAAGAAAAAATTTTCTATTTGACAGATGTATGTGAATAATGTAATAGTCAAATTTTGACATGGGGGGTTGTAAATTGCAACTAGTGAAGTGCACAAAACTACAAATGGGTAAAAACGTAAAATAAGTGAATTAGTGACACAACAAAACTAGTCCACAATGAAGGAGGCTTCTTTTTGGCAGATGCGATTCTCTTTCAACATCGTCTTGTTCCTTCTCAAATTCTTCCTCTCTTTCTCGAAGTCGTAAGCTTACCATATCATGGACCCCAACAACTTTCAACCTCGACGGCTGCTTTTATATTCTCAAACCATGCGATTTTTATGTGGTAATTGCAAATTTGACTTCATTTTTAAATGCAATTCATACAAGTACCTTTCAATTTGTTGATTGTTTCCTTGTATTGCCTGTTATTTGGTTGTGGGTATATATATATATATATTTTTAATAATTAGTATATGGTCAACTTTCATGATGAAATTGACATGATTTCTGTTAGTGGTTTTTATTCAAATTCAAAGACTTCAATTTTTTATTAGCAATTTCATAGTGATTAGGCAGGTAGGTCCCTTTATTATTTTTTTTGGGATTATATTATCAGTCAAAGTTGTAAAGATATTCTGATTAGTACCAGTCTGACTTGCTTTTTGATTGAAGCTTTGTGTTCAAGTTTCATGGGGTTTTCTTGAAATTTGCTCCAAAGTTGGTCAACATAGTTCCCTTCTTTTTAAGGGTGATACATAACTTTTGTTTTTGGGATTGTTAGATTGTTGGGTATTTGTTATCTTTTGATTATATTTTTTGTTTGTAAAATTATTTTGTATATTTGGGTTTTTGGGATTTGGTTGTTCAAGTTTTGAATCCAACATGGATGCAAAAACAAGCGAGGAATCGAATTATCTCATCAGAGCTAAACAATCAGACAATGAATATGGAGATTTGATGTCGAAATTGAAGGGAAAAGGGAGTCTTAGTAGCAATGAGGTGTTTTATAGAGCTGATAAAATTGATCTAAAAAGCCTTGATTTACAGCTGGAGAAAGAGCTGAATAAGGTTTGGAGCAAGGGATTGGATACAAACAGGCCGAAGGAAGAGTGGGAGATCGATTTATCGAAGCTAGAGTTGAAACATCTTGTTGCTCATGGAACTTATGGTTCTGTGTATCGAGGAACGTATGATAACCAAGATGTTGCAGGTATTATAAGGCTTCTTTTGAATTGCAATCTGAGTCTATAACATTATACTGTGAACTGATTTTATTTATTTGAAGTCTCTTGACTCTTGCATTTTTGACTTTCTTGTTTGATTGAATTGATTTTGTGATGTATATGTGATGGAATTTGCGATTGGTATGGTATTTCAGAATACCGTTTCAATAATTCTAGACATTATATAGAATAGAAGCTTATATTACTTTGCTAAAAGCATTGATCAAGAGTGCGCAGTTAATGCTATCATGGGGAGATGGAGATGGAGATGTTGATTTGGAAACAATGGAAGCTAAACAATGCTCTTTAGCTTTGTTGTGATGTATTTGATGTAAATGTTGAATTCATTTTCCTCACAACTTTTTCAAATTGTTTGGTCCTTATATTGAAGAATGCTGATTGTTAACATGCTTTTATCTCCAAAGCCATAAAATATAATTTCAAGAGTTTAATTTAGTGTAGTTTGTAAGCAAACATTAGAAAGGGAAAGGCTTGAAACTGAAATAGTGATGATGGATGATATTTTAAGACCACCTTGTTTGGTAAAAAAAGAATTTGGTATCATATTTTTGAGACTAAGTAGGTGAGACTTCTTTGGCACTTAAATTGCCATTATATTATATGGAGTCTTTGCTAGCGCCAGGCTCTTTGATTTTAGCTGACAAGGACACTTCAAAGTTTTGTCATAAATCGGCTGTTTGATTGCTTTGGAATGATATGGACATATGATCAAGTTGAATAATACTCTTACTAGCTTGTAAGTTTTTTCCGTGTCTCTCTCTGGGTTCTGTATTGAATTAGGTAAATCTAGTATTCAAGGAGTCAATATGAATGCTTTTATCCTGTAACTTTGCCTCTTGCAGAATGTCTGATCCAGACTCTCCCACTGACCTATCTAGTTGATTTATACATTTCTTTTTGACATATACCGGTGAGTAGAGTTAACATAAAATATTACTTAGTTTTGTTTCATTTTTAAAAATTACTTGATTAAATTGTTTAAGAACAAAGGGCCTGAATAATTTAAGACTTCAAAGATGTGTTTAAATGGTGTGATGGACAATTTTTGTTTATGATTTTTTTTTATTTTTTTTATTTTACAAATTTGTTTTGTTTGCCTTAACTACATTAATATTACGGAGTATCTATTTCTATTCTATTGAGGAGAGATATATTTATATTATTAAAGAAACCATTTTTAAAGCAAATTATTGAAATTTATCTTTTGGTACTAATGTGCTACAAAAAGAAAAAGGTTTCTGGATGAAAGTGAAATCATGTTTGTCTATTTAGGTTATGCTTAAGTTTTAACCTTTTCAAAATATAAGCTCTCATTTTATAGCCCTTATATTATCTTATTAGACCTTATTTAAGTTGTTAGAACCTATTAGTCCATATTTTATCTTATATGAATTGATCAATCCTTATCTTATCTACACTTATTAGCCTTTAATTTTGACTTGTGTGAACTTAATAATTATTATCCCATCTTAGTTTATCTCAAATTCTTAGCTCGGAAATACGTGAAAATAAAGTGAGTAGAACAAAGCTAAGTTTAGTTTAGCTCTAATAAGTTTTGATAAGTTTCAATAAGAACCTAAATCACATCACAACTACGACAAATTTTTAGTACTTCAGTTAAATTCTAATAAGTTTGAGGTCATATAAGTTGCAATAAGTGAGGTAAGTTCAAATTAATATATTTGAAGTGAAAAGAACACATCCTTGGTGATTTTAAATGTTGTGAGTATTCTCAACGACGGAGTACTAAGCATCTTTTTCAGTGCATTTTGTTTTAAAGCTGTCCCGTTTGATTTTTTGGTTCTTAATAATCTCCATGAAAATGACCAATTTGAAGTATCTTGTGTTATTCTAAGTGTTTTTGGTTTTGACAAAGTTCTTACAACTATGTTACTTGGAGGGGTTGTCTCCTAGTGTCTAAGCTATTTTTGTGAAAATTTTACATGATTTTGGCCCAAAATGAAGTTTAAGTGGGTTCAACACCGGCACTTGACGTGAAAGAAAGAGTCTGAATGACTTAGTTTTACAATGTTTTCTCTGTCATAGCCATGTCTTATTTTAATACATTAGTTTTACAATGTTTTCTCTGTCATAGCCATGTCTTATTCTAATATTCATTGATGCTATTGTGATGGATGGCATTGATGCCAAAATATATCCTTCCTCCGTTTTTTTTAGATGGGTCACTTTAAGAATCACGGTCTCCTAAGCAATTTTCGGAGATGAGAAAGATAGAGAGAGAAAAAAGAGGTTTTATGTGATATGAGAGAGATAGTGAGTATTTATTTAACAAAAAAAGGAAAGTGATGCATTTAAATTGAAACTTCCATATATATAGAAAGTGATGCACCTAAAAAAAAGATGGAGGAAGTATGAAGAATAAACAACTAGCCTGCTACTTAAACAATTTAACAGAATATCAAGTCTGCTACTTAGATGACCAGAGTCACCGAACCCTGAAAAGTTGAGAAATGTGTTCTGTTTGTTGAGAAGTTATTGCTTAAGATGGATGTGCAGTGTGGCTTTCATGAATGACTTTTAGCAGTGAAGTGATTAGGGTTTTCTTATCATTTACATATCTGCTGTAGAAGAATTTGCCTTGTTTAATTTTATGATATGGTCTTGTAACAATTGCAACTTAACCCCCAATTCAAGTAATGTGATCTTGGTATGTCACCATATAATCTTATAAAAATGAATATGCGGTACTCTGTGAAATGATGGAAGGAACATTAAAAGATAGGGGATCTAATCAATGCATCATGAATATGTAAATTATGTATGGAGACTTTGCTTTCCAAGTATTTGACGGATTTTATCAATGCCCAACTTCTATTTTATTTCATTACTATTTATTTTTATAGGTAGCATCAAGAATGTACACTGCATAATTTGCATGCCACCTCTTTCCCTAAAGGTTTAAATTTTGATGAAGGAAAAGGGTTGGGGGTTAAGAGGGAGAATGGGTAGAGGGGGGAGCATATTAAATATTAGAAGTCCTTGGTGATATTAAGACAAACCACAAACCACACTTCTATTTGTCCCCATATTGGTTTTGATTTGTCTAGAATACAGTCTAATTATGCACCAGATTTTTTCAGTAGATATGATTTAAATTGGAAAACCTTCTGTACTTTCGTGAACATGTGTTGATACTGTGATTTTCATTATGTCTTACTGCAATTAAATGTTTATAATATAGTGAAGCTCTTGGACTGGGGAGAGGATGGTATGGCCACTGCTGCAGACTCTGCTTCATTACGAGCAGCATTTCAGCAAGAAGTTGTTGTTTGGCAAAAACTTCATCATCCAAATGTTACCAAAGTAATCTTTTTTAATTTGCTCCACTTTTGGCTGATTTTTATATATGGTACATTGATTTGTTACATTGTCAAGTGAGTCAGAGAACTGTCAGGCTATATTTTGTATTTGGTTTGCAACTTATATGTGCCCCCACCTCCTTCGTTTGGTATGGTGTGACTCTAGCTTGGAAGTAAACAAATTAGAGACTAATCTCAACTGTTGTCCTGTTTGGGATTGCAGTTTGTTGGGGCTTCTATGGGAACATCAAATCTCAAATTACCTGAAAAGAACTCTGCTCAAAAAGCTCCTCGCTCTCTTTCATCGAGAGTATGCTGTGTTGTTGTTGAGTATATTCCTGGGGGGACTCTCAAGCAATTCTTGATAAGGAATAGGAGGAAAAAACTTGCTTTTAAGGTTGTGATTCAGCTTGCTTTAGATCTTGCTAGAGGGTGAGTTCAACAAGTCTCAGTCTCTCTCTTTCTTTTTAAATCAAGCCAGAAAATTTATGCATCCTTTTTGCAGGCTTAGCTACCTGCATTCAAAGAAGATTGTGCATCGTGATGTCAAAACCGAAAATATGCTACTAGACTATGAAAGGACAGTAAAAATTGCTGACTTTGGAGTTGCTCGTGTGGAAGCTCAGAATCCAAGCGACATGACTGGAGCTACTGGTACTTATGGTTATATGGCGCCTGAGGTAATTATATTCATATGCTCTTAATTAAAGAAAATGCATCAATATAATAGAAGATGAACAATTGAACGATATAACATCCCCTCTTCCCTGTTCCATGCTTACTGATAGAACAAAAAAGTAATGTAACCACTGGAATCAAAATCTGAATGTTTCTCTCTCTCTCTCTTTGTATCTTTTTTTTTTTTAATTTACTTATTTATTTTATTTTACAGGTACTTGATGGACAACCATATGATCACAAGTGTGATGTCTACAGCTATGGCATTTGCATATGGGAGATTTACTGCTGTGCAATGCCATATGCAGAGCTTAGCTTTAGTGAAGTTTCATCAGCTGTTGTTGCACGGGTTAGTTTCTAGATTTTACCATTAACTTATTTGATTCTTACATTCAGTTATAGTCTTTAGCAATCTTCCACATTCATCGTAGTGCTGCATAATTTAATCCTCATTATGGTGTTTCCAATGTGAATCTTTTAAGTCTTCTAAAACTGCTAACATTATGCCAATTGCTTCATGTATTTAGCCTTTGAAGAATGATAATAATTTGCACAATAAGAGTTTGAGCAATATGTACAAGTATCAAACAATTATTTGATCTCAAAATTTTTTAGTGTTGTCAGTTCTGCATTTAGCAAATTGTGTTTTGTAACAAGTTTAAACTAATATATTTGTTTCGGACAGAATTTACGACCCCAAATTCCTCGATGTTGCCCCAACTCCTTAGCAAACATAATGAAAAGATGTTGGGATGCAATCCCCGAGAAACGTCCTGAGATGGATGAGGTGGTGAGGATGCTTGAAGCAGTAGACACTAGCAAAGGTGGAGGGATGATACCAGAAGGTGAAACTCCTGGTTGTTTATGCTTTGGCCGTGCTCGTGGTCCATAATTTTTTTTACTCAGTTCCACAACTTTGTTTTTGGTTATATTAAATCTTTGTGCAGAGGCCTCTCACTCGTCGTGAGAACCACAACCATGGTACATAAATTGATGCTAGATTGTTGATTGAACATGTGTGCTTTCTTTTAGTCTCTTTCAGCATTCGTAGGAAATTTTTTGGGAGAAGTAAATATCATTCATAAAACAGATTGATTATACCTATATACAGGCTTATGTTGTTCTGCAGTTCTGGTCTTGTATAATTTACACATTTTATAATCAATACATATACATGTAAAAATTTTATGGGAAAAAATTAATAATAATACATATACATGTAAAAAGGTTTTTTTTTTTTTTTTTTTTTTTTTAAAGGAGATTGTCAGACTACATTTGATGCATTTTATGCTGCTGCCAAATATTTGCTTTAAAAGAGATTGTCAGACTACATTTGATGCATTTTATGCTGCTGCCAAATTTATGCTCTGGAAATTTTTTTATAACTTCGCAAACAAGATCTAAAGAAAATATATTTAATATTGCATGTATATGGGCAAGCACTGGAAACTGTGGTTATTTACTCTACAGACATGGAATGTAGTAGTCCATTCGAGAAACAAAGAATATTAAACTAGATTCTGATTTGTCTTAATTCGTAACAAGCTATAATTAAGGACTTTCCGCAACATTTAAACAATATAACAAAGTATGGAGTAAAATATCTAAAAATGTAGCTCTTTAAAACAATTACAATACACAAAATCTTTTAAAAAAAAAATAGTGATCAAGACCCTATAAACCAAATCAATAAGCAAAAACCCTGATGCGTTTCTATCTTGGTATTGACATTACCTGTAAATTCACTCAACTAACATGCACTCATCGAGAGTCCAAGACTAGGTTCAAAAGACTAAATCATTTCTCGCGCAATTTAAAAAAGATATAAGACAAGATTAACGAACAAATTGAATAAAACAATTTTAACACTGATCTGAAGAAAGTCTTAAGTTACGGTTTAAATTTATACTTTGTAGCTTAAATTGTTTGTTTACCTTTTCCAATCACTTTCTCAAAATATGTGTCAAAACTTGGCACTTTCTCCATTTCTATTTAGTTGACGCATTCAATTTAGACACATATATTAAGGAGAGGAGAGGAAATGATAAAACAAGTGGAGTACATTAACAAATGCAAGGTATTAAACTTACCCAAAAAAGAAACGTGTCAACTAAAAATAAACTTCCTAAAAAGGAATACATGTCAACTTAAAAACGGAGGTAAGTATATGAATAGTCTAAAGGTCAAACGTGTTATTTATGAAAGGTCTAAATAATCTAGTTCATTTCAAAAACAAGTTTAAACCTTTTTTTTTTGAAGCAAAACGTTAGGCAAGAACATTATAAATCAGAATCCGCTAAAGGTACAAGACTTTGCGGGAATGGACTCATACAAACAACTTCCAAACAACCACGAGTATACCATCTTGCTACAAGGTGGGCTATCGTGTTACCTGCCCTTCTAACATGAGAGGAGATAAAAAGCATTAAAAAAAACTTTGAAAATATGCTAAAATTGACGAGCAACCTCTAGAACTGTTGTTGATTGCCGCACACACAGAAGAAGAGTCACCTTCCAACCATACTTGCATCATGCCCAAGTGCCTAGCTACCAAGTCCCAAAATGTGCCGCTGCTGCCTCTGTACACTCCACCTCCCACACACCCTCAACTTGTCTAACCTCCACCCCCCACCCCCCCCACCCCAATGGTTTCTTGCCACTGCCCCTAAGCCCATATAGGATATAGCTACATGAGCATTCACATTTATTTAAATTTAATAAACCTTCTGAGGGACGTTGCCACGTTCGGAACGAGAGATTTTCACCTCGAGGTTTGTTGGAGAACACTTTCTTGGCATACATACAATAGTCCTCAACAAGCTTAATATAGCCAGCAACCATCTGAGGAGCATTCAAAGACAAGCCCTCATGAACCAACTTGTTCTTTCGAAACCAAAGGGACCATGTCATGGAATATAATACACGAAGCTCATTCAATCTAGCTTACTTGCAAGCCACACAAGCTTGGAAAGAAAAGGAGAAGTTTGGAGAATCACACAACACTAACTGAAAGCGGCTATTATTCTAGACATCTTGTGCAACATGACAATAAAAAAGCACATGAATGACAAATTCCACTCCATCAGCACACACCTCGTACAAATCATCCCCTACTATATGCATACGAAAGAGTTCTTGCTTGACCGTAGCACAACCCTTACACATTCGCTACAAGAAGTGGCTAAGCTTCGGAAGGCCGCCAAACTTCCATATAATGCACCAAGCTTCTTGCTCTTCATCCTCTGCCCCGACATCGACGCCATTAATGTGACCCATTCTTCCAAGCCAGTACCTAGATTTTACATTATAAACTCCATTTTTAGATGGCCACCAAATCAACGAGTCATTAGGCATAGAGATAGCTAATGCTATTTGAAGAATGGAAGTACACTCATCCACCGAAAATAATTCTCGTAACACCTCAGTGGTCCAACAAGCAGAGGTACATCAATGAACTGCAACACCCGCAAATCCAAATCATAAAGCGGACCATGCGTAGGAGGTTTTGATGGTGTCCCAAGTAGCCATGCATCAAACCAAACGCAAACATCCGTTCCATTTCCAATCCTCCACCATTAAGCTTTATCAAACCCATTTGGGATCTGAGAAAAAATTATAATAATAATAATAATAATAATAATAATAATAATAATAAATCTAGTCTTTAAGGTAATTTTTACTAAATACGAAGTACGTTTTAAAATTCCATTGGACTCCAGAAGTTGAAAGTCCAAATTGAGCAAGACTGCACAAGTTGAATCAAACACAATCTGTAAAATATGTGATTACCCTATGCATTTAGTTCTCAACTGTTTTATAATTTATTCATTCATTAACAAAAACGTAAACTAAAAACAAGGTATTAAATAAATAAATTAACAAACTATAAAGTGAAACTATTTACACTTAATTTTTTTCATTTAGAAGACAATTGTATGATTACAATGAGGTATACGTGAGGAAAGCAACTTAAGTCTTGTTGATCATGTATTTTCTTCCAACAACTACGAGTAATATTTTGCTTGTCGACTGAGTATATGAACTGTCATTGCCATTTCAATTGTGAACTCTATGAGACCAAACACTTTGGAAAAGCATGGCATCGCAGTCACTTGAGGAGTACTTTATCCCGTACGCTTACTTCGCACAGTACAGTTTTTGAAAAGAACTGATAGGCTTGACGGAAATAGCAATATTATCAGGATTACACCAAAGGGGAGACTACAGTTGTGGCCTTTTATACAGGGATAAAAGAGAATTTTGAAAGGGCTAATTTTTTCTTGAACCGTGGCTGCTGCCAACCATGTTGCTCTAGGAACTCTTCGATCAACCTAGTAAATCACCGGGGAAAAAAGAAACAAAGATTAGATAACACCAAAGGAACAGGCATACTAAAAACATCAATTCATCTCCAGTTATTACATGCTACAAATAGACTTCTGGGAAGCTGCCATTTCACGGTCAGGAAATGAATCGTCCAAGCGATAACTCAACCACACATAAAGCTCCAAGACCTTCAGCAAAGAGATACGTATGTTAAAGATGTTTAAGGAGCTGTAAGTTACAGTAAATTGAAAATAGATCTGTCACAAAATAGGAGTAATTCCATTTCTTCAAAGCCAAAGTATTATATTGGAGATTTATCATGCATAATTTGCATCCTTGAGTTTCAATGACGCTAATGAGAAACCGAGAATCAAAGTTGACAAAAGATGTATGACAAAGATTAACAACATAATCCCTTAATTCTAACTTTATACTCCCTCCGTATGTTAATACTTGCTACACTTTCTTTTTGCGACCATATATTGTTACTTGCTCCATTTCCTCTTTTGAAAACTTAAAACAATATTTCACTATTTTCCTCCCCACTAGTGGTCCCCTCATATCAAATTTTAATACTAGTATTTTTCATATTCTCTCTCCTACCCACTTATACTCACTTTTGCTTTTTTACGTAGTAGATTTTTTTATTCTTCAACCAACCCCACTTCTATCACAAAACAATACTTTCTACTATTTCTCCTAAAACTCCAAGTCCAAAATGAAGCAAGTAATAAATACGGAGGGAGTATATAGACAACCGAAAATTGCAAGAATCCAACAATGACAAGAACACCACCACGGCACCACTACCACCAACACCTAGAGCTGTCAATTCGGGTAAACAAGTCGGGTTTGGGTCGGGTAAGTGTGGGTCGGGTCTACTCGGGTCGGGTCATTTCGGGTTAATGCCGTAACCTATACGAGTCGGGTTCGGGTTGGGCCATGTTTGAGTCGGGTAACGTCGGGTCATACATCTTATCGGGTTTGGGTCGGGTTTAGGTCGGGTTAATAACAGGTCGGGTTACATTCGGGTCGGGTGAATAATAGGTCAGATTTAATTCGGGTTTTCACGGGTTAGGGTTATTCTCGGGTTCGGTTCAAGTCAATAATTTGCGGGTTATAATCAGGTCGGGTCATTCTCGGGTTTGAGTCGGGTTCCGTTCAAGTCAATAATTTGCGGGTTATAATCAGGTCGGGTCATTTTTAAGTCGGGTCATTCTCGGGTTCAAGTCGGGTTCGGTTCAAGTCAATTATTTGCGGGTTACAATCAGGTCGGGTCATGTTCGGGTTCAAGTCGGGTTTGGTTCGAGTAAAAAATTGCAAGTTATAATTAGGTCGGATCATTTCCAAGTCAGGTCATGTTCGGTTCAGGTCTCAAATATTGGGTTAATCTGGGTATCGGGTTGATTTTAGGTCGGGTCATATCAGGTTCGGGTACATTTTTTGGGTCGGTTTGTTAACAGTTCATGTAATGACAATCACATTTAATCATTAATCAATTACTTCATTTATTGTAAGAGAAATAATTTCGGATAAGTTTAAATTCGAGGTAATCAGTTCTAATAATTTTAGATAAGATCTACATAATAAGTTCATATTAATTCCAATAAGATAGGTTTAGTTTAGATTTTTAGAAGATAAGTTCAAACCCTATTCTATTCTTTTAGGGATAACAATTTCAGATAAGTTCATATTCGAGATGACATGTTTAGATAAAATACAATAAGTTCATATAAATTCGGATAAAATAGGTTTAGTTTAGATAAGTTAAAATACAATAAATTTTTTTTCTAAATTTATTTTATTTGAAATTATCTAAACTTGTTTATTTTATAAGTTCATATCCGAGTTCACGTTTTTTTTAATGGCATTTTTTTTTCAACTTTTAGATGGCATTATTCAAAACATTTAAATAAGATTAATTAGGCAAATGAATAATAAAATTAGAAAAATAAAAGACGAATAAAAGCCTTTTAACAGCTCTAGTTCGGGTCACCACTTTCTCGAGTACAGACAAGTCAAGTCATGATCGGGTACAGGTAAATTATTTGGGTCAGATTATCATCGGGTCATTGTCATATACTCATGCTCGCATTCAATCATTATCACGTTCAATTCAATCATTATTCGAAATTATTATTTTTTTTAACTTTTTTTTATTTGATTTTTTTTTTTTTTTATAAAATATAAGATAAAACAAACAAGCCTAAGGTCAATTAGTATTTGTAAGCCGTAATTGACTACATTAATGCACATGCACCTACAAAGTAATAGTATTCGTAAACCATAATTGCTTAATTGAAATATAGAATGAACTTGCACCTAAAAAGTAGTAGTATTCGTAAATCGTAATTACTAAATTTAAATAAAGAATGTACATGCATCCAAAAAGTAGTGGTATTCATAAATTTTTATAGGTTTTTATGAGACATATAAATTGTATTACATTTGATGATAGAGAATTTTATTGAAAATATTTGAATAAGCTTAAATAGGAAAATAACTCATAGAATTAGGGAAAAAAAAAAAAAAGATATGACGTAATCCTAGATTACTAGTTAATTTCGGGTCAATAACAAGTCGGGTTGATTTCTAGTCGGGTTAGTGACAGATCGGGTTAAATTACGGGTCGGGTTAGTAATAGGTCGAGTTAAATTCGGGTCGGGTTAATTCGGGTCGGGTTAAATTCGGGTTTTGACGGGTTAAAATGGGTTTGGGTCAATTTCGGTTTAGGTCGGGTTTGGTTCAAGTCAATATTTTACGGGTTATATTCGGGTCGGGTCATCTCCAGGCCGGTTCATGTTCGGGTTCGGGTCTCAAATACTCGGGTTAACTCGGGTCTAGGGTTGGTTTCAGGTCGGGTCATATCAGGTTCGGGTCATCATTTTTCCGGGTTTAGACGGGTCGGTTAATAATCGGGTTTCGGGTCGGGTTAGCTTTGACAGCTCTACCAACACCATCACAACCACCAGCAACTACTTTTTCAACATGATGATGATGATAAAATAGCCAACAGGCCTCCAAAACAGCAAATCAACTATTTTCCAGTTAAAAAGGAAACACACCTCCTCAACTGTTTAAGCACCTTCCTACATTTTCAAATTCAATTAAACAATACGGAGTAACAAAGCAACAGGCTCCCGAAGCATCAAATCAACTATTTTCCTATTGAAAAGGAAACACAAGCTCTCTCAACTTTTTACGCACCTTCCTACATTTTCACATTCCGATTAGACTATAAAGTAATACGGAGTAACTAAGCCAAACAAGCGCTTGTGTCAAGCATTCCCAGGGATCTTATTTAAATCAATATTCTATAAGATAACTTCTATCTCTTCTTATTTGTAGAAAAATAAAAAACATTATTGATCCCATAATATTTGTCACCTAAACTGCCAATGCACTATTGTCATTTAGGGAACCAATACAATATTCAATAAAATAAGTGGAATATTGGGCATTTAATTAATGCAAACCTCAGATACAGTGATAGCAACAGGACTGGTCACAGACAGCATTTTCACGCTATATCGTAGGTCATCAATGTCATTCTTATTGCAATCAGAAAGTGTGATATCTGAAACCAGGCAGCAATTGGATATATAGTTGTTAAAGCAAATGCACCGAAGGTTCTTGATTCGTAGGGGAATGGCCCATTTTCCTTATAAGGGTATCATGTTACCTTGCAGTTTATTTAGTTGGGAGAGAGAGGGGGGGGGGGGGGTGAGGAGGTAATACATAAATTATAACTTCTATTAGGAGTCAGACAGTCAGACCTTATGAATAGATTCCAGTTCTTGCATAGCAGCTGGTGTTTTAGGCACCTTAAGCGTCCCAGGTGTGAAAATCTCCCGTAAATTAACAATGCCTTTCTTGGCATATGTTTGTGCAAACTGTCCACATATATATTTACAGAGTAAAATCAACTGTGAAAAAAATAAAAAATAAATAAATAAATAAAATAAAATAAAAAAATTAAAATTACACATATAGAATGTGGATAAAATTTGTTTACCTGCACAAGTCCTTGCGATGATATATCATCGTCCACATCAACTGGACTGCACATAGAGACAGAATAAATGTTAAGACTATAGTGGTTTGTGTACGGCTCAACACAACATGGTTATTGCATTGCAAACTAATAGCATAAAATCAGTTAGGTCACAGCGTCAGAGTGTGATTACATACAAAAATAAAATAAGATAAAAAATACGATAATGATAAAATATTAAAGAAATGGAAAGTAAATTGTGCAATACCAGAGGTAGTATATACACAAAAAAAAAAGTCATGCATACCATCATGTTTTGATACAATAAGGGCCAAAATTCAGCGATCATAATAAGAATACATAAAAGACAAATGAATGTAGATCTAAATAACCAATATCTGCTTTCAAAAAAATAAAAAACCAATATCTATAACCGCATGCCTTAGGTTCTGTAGCCCAAGATGCCACAACTTAAAAATCTAGGAAGGTCTGGGCAGTGCATATTTATCAGGCAGAGAGGAGACACAAGGGAGCGCTACAGGCATGTGAACCCAGCTTGAGTGTCTGAATTCACTTTTTCAAAGACGGAAGTTTTTCATTGTTTTGCAAGGACTGCCCACACAATATGCTCTCCTTGATACCAGAAATATCTATGAACAAAGAGGCCAGAAAAGGAAACAAGATTAAAAAGGGAGATTGCAGGACTAGAACAAAGAGACTGCCGACCCTTCCTACATCGTATGGATATCTAGAAGTAAACATTGTTACCTCCAAAATTAATTAAACAATTATATGACATAGTGGGTTTTCATCTGTGCATCTCTATCTTGGTGATAGGTGAGGAGACTCATGAGAGAAACTTGTGTACGAATCTCAAGCCTTGCAATACCAACAACAATCAGTTCTAACAAAATGATTACTGAAGTAGCTCATCATGAATAATATACTATGATATAAAAGTATTTTCAACTTCTCAAATCAATAAATCAATATCATATCGTACCAAATCCAACAATGCTGAGAAGAAATACAAATTCCCATCACCAATTGTTTATCTTTGTGACAGCAGGTTACAAAATGTTCAAAAATGTCCAGTAGACTTTTTGTAAAGGCGATTCTAGACAGAAAGCTGGTAAGAATTATAAGAGGCTACCCCAAAGAGTGAATGATACTACAGAAATTTATCCATAGACAATGGCAAAAATACATTGTAGAACAATATGGATTATGGATAAAGGATTATGCTTATGTCCAAACTCTCTCTATTATTTCTCTCTATACCTTTTCCCAACAATACTTTTTTCCGATCAATGGATAACGACCAAAAACATGCAGAGGCACAGAATTAACAACGTATTTCGGAGCCAAGTTGATTTGGAAAAAATTGATTAAGACTAAATATTTGTAGAATGTAAAACTACAAAAGTATGTGGAAATCTTTTATTTTCACTATTTTGATTTGTTATTATGGAAATACAAGAAAATAGGGTACTATCCTTTAAATTTATCATATTGATTTGCATAATTTTCCACAGATATTCCCATCACTTCTAAGGGGAAAAAAGTATGAAAACAGCAAAATATAAATAAGGGATTTACCCATCATATTTACTCACTTTTTCTATTTTGTTATATTATATTCAACAACCAAACATTGAAGAGCTATGAAATCCTATGTTACTTGGACATGGCTAAAATCGCGGAGTGTTTGTGTCGACACAACACGACACGGGATCCGTGTCCGACCCTACACTATGCACTTGGACACTTCCATCAAAAGTGGAGAGTAAAAAAGAGAAGCATGAAAGTAAAACATATCTTGTTTGAAGACCACCATTGATATAGAGAAGATGGAGAGAAGAAGACTGCCATTTATTAGAAGAATTTGCCGAGGAAAGAATTATAATAAAAAAAATAGGGGTGGATGTAATGAAAAATTTAAAACTTTTGTAATATATAATTTATATAAGTTCAAGTGACATATTGACGTGTCCCCGTACCCATGTCCACATTTCGGACAGTCCCCGTGTCCTAAATTTCGGAACTTCCCGGATCGGACACTTGGACATGTGTCATGTCCGACGCCTATTCTCGAGTCCATGTAACATAGATGAAATCCTCACATATATACACTTTTACCCAATTTTTGTCACTGAAGCTTATTCCGAAATCTCTACAAAATCAAGCTTTCAGTTTATATCATGTCTTAAATAAAGTTGCCAGCATATATTATAGTGAAAATTGGCTTGGTAGACATCAAACAATGTCCACTTCATTCAATTTTTTCAATTTGTCTTCTGCACCTGTTACAAACACTCAACATTCTAACAAGGGTATGGAAATCTTACACAAAAGACTCAACCAAACTCAGTTCAATTATTTCAATCCACATAATTGTAGAAGAACGTGTGAAAACATAAGAAAGAGAAGAATATGTGTGATATGGGCTACAAATAAGCACGTCGATGATAACTAACAAGTCAGCCAAAAATGTGTATATGTATCTGTACATTTAGAACATGTGTTTTACATTTAGAACACGTGAAACTATCTTCTCATAATATAGATATGTTCCATAGCCATATTCCCGCATCCAAGTCCAATTTTTGGACAATGACCACGTGTCTAACAACTGAAGTAAATCCCAAAGTGATTTGGGATCGGCTAACATGAACCTTGATAAAGAATCATCCAAAACAGAACAAGAGCATAACAATTTAATTGATTGAATAAAAGTGTTTTTTTTATTAAAAAAAATAAATAAATAAAAAATAAAAAATAAAATAAAAAGAGTGTGTTAAGTGAGAAATAGAAAAATTATACAAATAAAAGTTAAGAGAGTTTGAAAACAGTGGTAAGGTGATAAAAAGGGAGGAGAAACATGTGAGTAAAAACACAAAGTTTTGAGAAAACTTTAGCACGGGAAATAATTAAAGTACACAAAACACAGGTTGAGTAAATAATAAAAGTACATTCTCAATATATCCGCATATATAATGTGATTCTCTTTCTATTTTCAGAGAGGACAATTTGTCACAATTCTGTCTAGAGATCTATAATTTTAATTATCTTTCTTCATCTGATGAAATTCATTCTTTGACTAAAACTTGAAGATGGCAACACAGCAATTAATAAAGAAAATCAGATAAAAGAAACAAGCAAGTGCACACAGAAAGGGCCAATCAAAGAAAACCTGCCCAAAGTCTTTTAATCACTAGAAAGAGGTAATACAAAATTTTTGATACCTGATACAGAAAATATATTTCTCACGCAAACCAAGTGGCAGCTCGTCAATAATGGCAGCTACTTTCTGTGTCAACTTCGGCTTGTTAGCATTTAAAATAGCTCCGAAAATAAGGTCATCAGACTTCAGTAGTAGACACAGATATATCGGGTGCATAATAACTACTGACATCAGTTGAAAATTACACTAGAATAATAAAGTTTACCCCGACATAATAAAATTTACCTATTATTTTTGATAAAATTGCTCAATTGAAACTGTAAAAATCTCATCGCTGTATGTGAAAGTAATAATATTATCCTTATAAAGCTTATTACATGGCCTATTTACATTAATATCAGGTTACCCCCAAAGCAGGTTGAAAGTTACCCTAAACTCTTAGATGTACACTAATATTATTGTAAACCCAATGTACACTGAATTTTATTTTTTTTTTTGGTACCTAAGAGCGCCAACACATCCCCAAACTCCATTGACAAAACTCAAGGCAATGTGTCAACTAAATCCCCTGACTGTGAGTACAGCGGCACAATTTCAAACCCTCTATTTATTAGGGATTCTTGCTACTTATGTGGGTTGGGTGACATGGTAAAAAATGGTAAAATCAACAGGCGGCATTTCAAGCAAGGAAAATACAGATGACCCTTTCTGGTGGTAAGCTTCTATGTTGGAGTTTGTTCCAAAACAAAGTGAGCCGGGTTGGGGAAGGATTGGATAACTCTTTTTACATTTTTTTTTAAATATATTACATTAGTTGGAATAAAAGATTTTACAGCATTATACCAAAGAATGTGATTGCAATGAGAATGATACATTTTTTTTTACATACCAGCAATTCTTCACAATTGGACATGAAGTAATTTGATGCTAATTTAGCATTGATTGAAAAGTGTTCCTGCAAAGTAAGAAACCAAATTAACGACAACAGAGTTGACTAATGATCTACATATATTACCAAAATCAGCAACACCCTCTGATACATTTATGTTAATTGCACCCACTGATACTAAAGATGAGAGAGTGTTGCATGACAAGATTGGAGAGAGGGTGTTGCATGTGGGGTTTCTACAAGATAAATTAAGGAAAGTGTTGCATGTGGGTTTCCTGTAAGAAAAAGTAAGAGAGTGTTGCACATGAGGTTTGTGTTAGAGAAAGTAGGAAAATATCTTTTCAACCCAGCAATAGCCTATAGATTGAGTTCATGTCCGCACCAGATATAATCCGTATTTATGTCCGCACCAGAGTTGGGTAGTATCGACATAGGTGCGGTAGCCGGTAGGGCAATATGACAAGTCTGAGCATCACAACCTTGAGCTCACTGATAACCCCATCCCCCACCTTCCACAAGACAATGCTACCAGAATACATGCTAACAATTATTATAATGGACTGGAGAGAATCCCTCAGCAACTTGAGAAAAGATGTTGAAGACCTCATGATTTAAAAGGGAGCAGAACAGAAATGGTGATTGAAACCCTCTCCCTCTCTCCCTCAATACAAACAGAGATGCCCTTATAATTACAGAAAAAACTGGTTTACACGATTTCTGTCAATACAAACAGAAGTTGAGACCCTAATACAGAAAATAAATGACACAGTGATAGCTATGTGATTTGTTGTTTGATGGGGGAGGATAGCGAGATAATTTACCAATATCTGGTACAATCCATTTTGTGGATTCGCTCTTGAATACATGAGCAAAAGATCATAGCTCGGAAACAATCCCGCACGCTGAAAAGAATATACATGATCAAAAATAGAAAAAGGCAATAGACTTGTGACGTAGAAACCTATTTGCTTCATCTATATAATGTTTCATAGGAAGCTATAAAATAGAAACAATTCAATGGAGTCCAATTACAGCTGCAGTAGTTTAACTTTTTCACCTCTAGGTCTGGAGATGGAGAGTTGAGTGACGAATGTAGTAGTAGTAGATCTTCCTCGTTTAGACATGTCACTTCACCAAGTGGATACTTGGACCCATATCTACCAGCTCTTCCTACAAGAACCATGGATTATCTCATAAAACAGTGATTAATGACAATTAAAGTCACATAACATGATATTTTACATATTCATCTTATTTCAAGAAACATGAATGTATTAGGGGCTTGATTACTGTTACATTAAATAATCGAATTACCCGTGCTTGCATTAATATTGCATCAACATATACCTATCACTGCAATTCAAAGATCACAGAAAGCAGCAATCCGCTGCAGGAGAAAAAAGAAAATGCAGGATGGAAGCACAAAACTTTATCTCCATAACACAGGAAAACTGAGCAGAAAAATTGCCTACGTATGGTACACCTGAGAGAAACTTATTAGGAAACATCCTTCAAACATAAGGCCTAGGAAAAACTAAAAGCATACAATATATTTACAAGACGTCTGAAAAACACTTGATCCTGGAAGATTTATCAATGTTATCATACAATTGGGAAAAAAAAAAAAAAAAGAAAGAAATGAGGGAGGGAGGAAGAGAGAAAAAGAAAAAAATTGGTTTACATGAAATCTTATAGCAGTTACGAGTCAATGTAGCCTATTGGTGATATTCCAATGCAAAAATCCTAACTCCCCCCCCCCCCCCACCTCATGTAGGAAACCTCATTCACTGTGTTGACATTTGATGGAATTGTCATCATTTCATCGATGCATTTGCAGTTATAAGAAAATCACGTCTCTTCCATACAGTGGAGTTAATAAAAATCATAGAATACAACAGACCTGCTATTTGCTTAATCTCTGGCACAGTCAGATCACGCATCTCTTGACCATCAAACTTTTGCAGCGTTGAAAATATGATTCTGGAAATATTTAAATTGAGACCCATTCCAATAGCATCACTAGCCACAAGAACATCAAACTCACTGGTAGCATCATTAAACATAGTTGCCTGCATTACTAAGCAAAAGATGATCTTAGTGAGTCTGAGCAAACAGGCATCAGGGGCACAGAGCACAAAATATTAACCAAAATGACTTGGAGTTATCACCAGGAGCAAGGAATGGAATAAGCATCAATTCAGTAAATATACTGTGCATAGACTGATTTAAGACAAATTTTCAGCAACTTAGTATTATCTCTAATCTTTAAGATGTGTAAAGATCTTATGAAAGCCCAAAGCATGTAGAAATGGAACGGGGGAGTACATAAAGGTCAAATGCATTCTGAAGGGAAGCATATATACATTGGAAAGGAAAAAAAATTCAATGTGACAAGAATATAAGCATGTTCAAAAATATTTCATAGAAGAAGGGAGGCAAAAGAAAAGAAAAAGACAACGAAGAATAACAATAACAATAATAATAAAAAGAGTAAACGTGAAAGATCAGGATTAAAAAAATGAAATTAAAAAAATCTTCAACTGAATTGTAATCCCAAGGATCTTATTATGTTGCATGGATAATAAATGAGAAATACAGCTAATACTTTTTTAATTGTCCAACACATAAATAAAAAAAAAATAAATAAATAAATAAATAAATAAATAAAAACCCTAGAACTTAAGAAAGGGGCTTTGTTAGGGTTCAAACTTTTAAAGGAAATTCTACATGGTGGCCTCAAGGATTCAGTTTTTCTACGTGGAAGACGAACTTTTTCAAACTCTCTTAAGTGGCACCAAGGTTTTGAAAAATTAACCATAGTGCCCTTTTTAAGTTTATGGCTAACTTTTATGATTAAAATGGTTAACCTTTGATTTTTTTTTTTATTAAAAAATTATTTTATAAACAATAAAAAAAAAAAAATCACCACAACCAACCCAGCCACCACCAACTCAATCGCCGGAACCCTAACCCCACAACCCTTAACCTTCCCCTCCCCCTCGTGCCAGCCAACCCAACCCCAGCCACTCCTTTTCCCTTCCCCAATTCGACCAACTTCCCCTTCCCCCTAACTAGAACGAACCCCCTCCCCTTCCTCCACCGCGAGCCGGCAACCCCAAACCTAAAACCCCTAACCCACACCCGAAACCCCATAGCCCAAACCTCCGCGACCCTACTCTCTTCTTCACACATCATGCCCACCATCACCATCAATCACAAATCTCAACAAAATCAATGGTGGAGGGCGAAAATGTTGAAAATTGGTGGCGAATTGCTGAATGGGGATGGCGGATTGGTAGTAATTGGTGGCATTGGCTGTGATTTGGTGCGCAATTGGGAAATTGGTGATGCGGGTGGGAGGAGAGGAAGTAGCAGCGGCTACTGGTGGCTGCGGTTTGTGAGGTGTGTTGTGTAGGAGTTTTTGGTGGCTAGTGGCAGCGGTTCGTGAGGTGGTTGCTGGTGATAGCGGCTCGTTGGTGGAATGGTGGGGTTTGTGGGAATTTTTGGTGGTCTTTGTGGGCTGCGGTGGTTGGGAAAGGTGGAATGGGGGCTGTGGGGGTGGAATCGAGGCTTGTTGGTGGGTTATGTGGGAGTTTCGGCCTGGTGGTGGGGGTTGGCTACGGTGGTCGGGAAGGGGAGGGGCCGGTTCTGGTGGTGATGATGGTACGAAGTGGTAAAGTGGTGACCGGCGCAAAAGGGTGGGAGAGATCTGGGCGGCGGCGACGGCTGAGCTGTGGGGTTAGGGTGCCGGCGTAGGTGGTGGTGGCAGTGGGGTTTGGTAGGTGGTTTTTTTTTTTTAATTTACTTAATTTTTTTAATTAATTATGGTTAACCAAAAACTAAAAAAGTTAAGAGAGTTGGAAAAAAGTTCGTCTTCCACGTAGAAAAACTGAATCCTTGAGGCCACCATGTAGAATTTCCCAACTTTTAAAGTGTTCTGGAATTAACTCCGCCAATAGTTATTACACCCACGTAACATCATGACTAACTAGAGAGTATTTCAGTTATATGGCCCTCCGGGATTATTCATCTCCTTACAGTTATATGGCCCAAAAAAACTATTATTGACTAACTTGGGAGTATTTTAGTTGTGTGGCAGAAATCTGGGATTATTCATCTCCTTTCAGTTATATGACTAACTTGGGATTACTTAAGTTACTTGGTTATATTTAGGGGTATAAATGCCCGCACACTATTCATAAAAGTTCAAAAAGAAAGTAGTTAACATTAATGAGGGCAAATAAGTAAACTAACATTTTTAGGAATATAAATGGTTGTTAACATTCATAAGAGTTTGCTTGAATTTTTAAAAGTTAGGGATATAGCCCAAAACACTGATATTCAACTTCCTGCCTTGGGTGTAACATCTAGAAACTTTCCAATCCCTTAAGATCTAACTTATAGTCTAACCTTATAGGATTAGAGAATATTTTATCGCTTACTAAACGCAGAAAATATCCATTTTCTACATAGATAATCAATTTTAAACAAAAGTAGGTCCTAACAACATTACTGAACCTCCAATTCATGACTTGGTTCTTTACATGAAAGTTTCACATCATCCATTGTGTTGCATATACCAAAACACTTTATCACATCTAGATATGAGATATGTTCAGCCATCCCAATAACCAGTTCAGTGAAATCTTCAATCTTTGCCTTGAACCCAACAGAACAAAAGGGTTGCTGAAACTCAGAATATGTAGAAAGCATGAGAATAGATAATGTTATTACCTGTCTCGTACGAGTTTCCGGGGGTAGTGAACCGTACACAACAGAGCAAAGATGATTTCCCTCATTTTCAATTTTTCTCTGGGAAATAGACGAGAAATCTAATTAGATGTGACACTAACCAGCAGCATACATAAAAATACAATCTCTTTTAGAGTGGATAGATTGTATACTCATTTTTTTAAGTGGATAGAGATAATTCTCTTTATAAACTAGAATCTCTTTTAGAGTGCAGCAAAAGCCAGCAAAAAGAACGTAGCACAGTATAGAGTAATACATTTCATTTCATTTCATTTAGTTAGGACAGATCGTGTTTAAAAAATTATGCATACCCAATAATATCAATCTAGCTGAAAAGCTAAAATACAACCACCCGAACATCATGGAGATACTTAGAACAAAAAGTATACAAAATCAAGCGAGTGACAAAAAACTATTTCAGATGAAAAACATTCCCTCCAATTTCTTTAATTGCAACACTTTCTATAGTCAGCCTTTATTTTTTTAGTCGCAACACTTCCTTAAATATATTTTGCTTAGTTAAATAATTTATTTATACTGAGTCCCTTGCTAGGGTTTGTGCTCTCGTCCCTGGTAAGGGTTTGGTACCGTTTGTTCATCGTTTTTCGTTCGTTTTCCACCAATTTTTCTCGCTCTAGCCTCAATTTCTGGTTCTGTTTCAAGATAGCATGGATTCGAAGGTGTTGGAGGAGTTAGAAAACTAAAAACTGACGGAGGATGAGAATAAGATTGTCGGGGAGAATTTTGAAGGAACTGACGAAGAGAACACGAAGGCAAAAATCTCCTTGACTCTGGTAGGGAAGCTCTTGACTGTTCGCCCATACAATGTAGAGGCGATGAAACGGACCCTTGTGAATGTATGGAGGGTCAAAGACAATGTTGCGATACGTATGGTCGAAACCAACCTCTTTGTTTTTCAATTTTTCTGTGAGGATGATAAAATTAAAGTTATGGAGGGTTATCGTTGGTTCTTTGACAAGAAACTACTGCTATTAACTAAAATAATGGGGGATGAACAACCCTCGACAGTTTGCTTCTCATCATCCCCTTTCTGGGTACGAATTGGGGATGTGCCTTTCAACAAGAGAAACCTTGACTTTGCCTTTGAGATAGGTGAACATTTGGGTGGTTTCTTGGAGTTCGATGACTCTGACCCACTAGGTTGGGAAGCCTTTCTCCGTATTAAAATCATGGTGGACATCAATAAACCTTTGCGAAGGGGTTTAAAGGTAGCTAATGGTTCTTCTTCCCCAATATGGTGTGGCATGCAATACGAGAGACTTGCGGAATTTTGTTATTATTGCGGAAGGCTGAACCACACTGACGTTGAATGTCAATTTGTAGAGGAAGATGTGGTGACTAAAGGAGTGGTGTATGAGTATGGTCCATGGCTAGGGGCTTCACCAAAGAAACAAGCACGTGGTTCTCTCTTTGACAGAGAAAGGGAGAGGTCTTGGCTGTCAAAAATTAAAGATGCTAGCAAACCAAGGCTGCCAGGGTACTTTGATCCGAAGGCTGTCAGCAAGGGCCCCCCTGCTGCTGCACGAAAGCTTACCTTCTCCGCTCCCTGAGAACAATAAAGAAGAGAAGGCTGTTGGTAAGAGGATAGGAATGGACAGCTCTCTCACAACCGTCCAGCCAGAATATCAATCTAAGAAGCACGCAACCCTGCTTATTACTCCAACTGAAGTTGCACCTCTCAATGATGGCAGTAGCATGCACTCTGAACCTCGGTCTGTCCCGGCTGTTAATGTAGCCGCTCCGGATTGCAGAGAAGTGGCTCCTTGTTCTGTTTATAATGGTGAAGAAGTTGATACGGGTGCAGTGCAGCATGTTCAATACCCGTCTTCAAGAACATGGAAAAGAATTGATAGAGACATTGATGCTTCGATGATGGAGCATGCACCGATCTCTGGTAAGCGTAAGTGTGAAGCTCAAATTTTTACAACAGCAGTAGATGAGTCCTCCCTTGGGAGACGGCCTAGAGCTAGCCCTGTGTCGATTAATCAAGCTGTTATTTCGGCGGTGGTTGACATAGAGCAACCACGCCCCCCACAATGAGTACTCTTTGTTGGAACTGAGTTAGAATACTACGGCAGTGGTGTTCAATTTTAGCCCCTGATTTGCTTTTTTTGTGTGAGACTAAAGTTAATAAAACTATAGTTGAGAACAATAAATTTTATTTTGGTTTTTCTCATGCTTTGGGTGTTAGTAGTGTTGGTAGGTCGGGTGGTCTATGTATGTTTTGGAGGGATGGTACGGATTTTGAATTAATCTCTTTTTCTCATAATCACATATGTGGAGATGTCAAAATTAGTTCGGGGGAAGGATGGAGATTTGCTGGCATTTATGGTTGGCCAGAATCGGAAAATAAACACAAAACGTGGACTTTGATTAAACAGTTGTGTGAGGGGTATGAGGGCCCGATTCTTTTTGCTGGTGATTTTAATGAAATTTTGAGCTATGACGAGAAGGAAGGTGGAGCCGATAATATTCGACGTTCTATCCCCGAATTTAGAGAAGTTTTGTAGGACTGTGGTTTACGTGATCTTGGCTATGAGGGGCAATGGTTTACATGGAAGAACGGTTTGACGGTTCAAACTCATATTAGAGAAAGACTTGACAGGTTTGTGGCAAACGACTCCTGGTTTGCTGCCCACCGTAGCTCATATGTGGAGAACTTAACTCGGGTCAAATCCGACCACTCTCCTGTTTTTCTCAGGCTAGGGGAACATAGGAAAAAGAAGAAAAAAAAGAAAAAAAAAAAAAGGGATTCCGGTTTGAAACTTGCTGGTTGATGGAGAAGGAGTGTGAGGATGTTGTGCGGTGTGCTTGGAGGGATGGTAGGGGACAGATTTCAGATCAAATGAAGGAAGTAGCAGGGAACTTGAAAATTTGGAGTGGGAAAAAATTCCAGAATTAAGCAGGTGAGCGACATCGAAGGGGAATTAGAAATTGCGAGAGGGGAGGATGTTTCGGAGGAATCTATTGCGAAGTGCGTGGAGTTAGAAAGGAAGCTTGAAGAGCTGCTTGATAAACAGGAATCATACTGGTACTTACGTTCTAGAGCTTCCGAAGTTAAAGATAGGGATCGAAATACCAAGTACTTCCACCACAAAGCCTCTCAACGCAAGAAGAAGAATGAGATCAAGGGTCTTTTTTATGAGGATGGGGTTTAGAAAGAAGACGAAAGTCATTTGGAAGAAATTGTTGAAAAATTTTATAAACATCTGTTCATTGCTGGTACCCCTTCGGAAGCGGCGTGTGACCATGTTCTTGATGCGGTAGACTCTATTATTACTTCGGAGATTAATGACAAGCTGCTTCGGCCTTTTCGAAGGAGGAGATTTTTGCCGCTCTTAGTCAAATGCACCCCTGTAAGGCCCCAGGACCGGACGGTATGCATGCTATTTTCTACCAAAAATTTTGGCATATTGTTGGTGATGATGTCTCTCGTTTTGTTAGTAGTATTTTACAGGGTAATGAATCTATTAGCTCTGTTAATAATACTAATATTGCTCTTATCCCGAAGGTCAATTCCCCTTCCTCTATGGTTGATTTTAGACCTATTGCTCTATGTAATGTGATGTATAAAAGAGCCTCTAAAGCGATTGTTATGCGGTTAAAAAATATTCTTTCGGGTGTTATATCGGAAAATCAGAGTGCTTTTGTGCCGGGTAAACTTATCACAGACAATGCTTTAGTAGCTCTACTATGAAAACGAGGTGTAAGGGCAAAAAGGGTTTGGTTTCCTTGAAATTGGATATGAGCAAGGCTTATGACAGAGTTGAGTGGAATTTTCTCGAGAAACTCCTGCTGCAAATGGGTTCTGCTGAAAGTTGGGTTCGAATTGTGATGGACTGTGTTACTTCGGTCTCGTATACATTTATTGTCAATGGAGGGGATCCATTATCCCCATATCTCTTTATTCTGGTTGCCCAATGCTTTTTATGGTCTTTTCCGAAAGGCTATGGCTAATGGCTCACTTCATGGAGCTAGAGCTAGTAGGAAAGGCCCGGAAATTTCTCACTTACTTTTTGTAGATGACAATCTCTTTTTGCAAGAGCCAACCGAAAGGAATGCTCGAAAATAGTTGAAATTCTCAACATATATGAAGCAGCTCCCGGACAGAAAATTAACTATGAAAAATCGGAGGTCTCTTTTAGCAAGGGTGTTAGTACGTCGATGCAAGAGGAACTGATTGAGATCTTGGCAATGAGACAGGTCGATACGCACGGGAAATATCTTGGTATTCCCACCATTATTGGAAGATCGAAGAGGATGGTGTTCATGGCTCTCAAGGATAGAATATGAAAGAAATTAAATGGGTGGAAGGAAAAACTACTTTCTCGTGCCGAGAAGGAAATTCTCTTGAAATCTGTGATTCAAGCGATTCCCACGTATCTTATGGGTGTTTATAGACTGCCTCAAAGTGACCTTCATTCCATGATGGCAAAGTTCCTATGGGGCAGCTCCGATGAAGACCGCAAAGTTCATTAGAAGAAGTGGGATGATCTTTGTACTCCGAAATGTCGGACTTGCGGGTTTTCAACGAAGCTCTTCTCGGAAAACAGGCTTGGAGACTTACCAAGTTCCCAAACTCTCTCCTAAGCAAGGTGGTGGGGGCGAAGTACTATCCGAATTGCAGTTTTTTGGAGTCTCATTTGGGTTATGCCGAAAGTTATTCATGGCAGAGCATATGGTCCTCTAAAGCTTTACTTAAGAAGGGTCTTTTGTGGTGAATTGGCAACGGTTCAACCGTTAATATTTGGCGTGACCCTTGGATTGACAGTGGCACTAGCAGGTTTATTTCTTCCCCGAAGTCAGGTATGATCAAGATGGTTGCAGATTTGATTGATCATGAGAATAGAGAATGAAAGGAAAGGCTCTTAGCTGAGAATTTTAATGAGATTGATACTCGAAGCATATTAGCTATCCCATTGAGTTCTTACTCCTCGCCAGACGTGGTCTCCTGGGCATTCTCCATAGATGGTGCTTACTCGGTTAAAACAGCATACATGTTGGGGAAATCGTGTAATTTGGATTATTTTCATAGTACATGGGTGGACATTTGGAAGCTCGATGTTACGCCAAAGGTGCGCCACTTCCTCAGGTACTCTCCCGGTCCGAGCTTACTTGAAATATCGTCATATGTCGGATGTCGAGTCCTACCCTTGGTGCCCTAAGGGCCCGGAAACTCTTAGACATGCTTTCTTTGAATGTCCTGCTGCTAAAGACCTTTGGGTGGAATGTGAGTGTCAAGAACTTTCGGATTGACCGCAAGAATTGACATTCCTCGAATTTTTTAAAGGTTGGAGCAAGCAAAGTTCTCGTAAGCAATGCGGGGGGCATTTCTCATGTGGAATCTGTGGAGAAGACGCAAAGAGAAAATTTTCCAGGGGACCGAAACCTTTCACCCTGTTCTTGTGGATAGGGTTCGACGACTTGCAAGTGAATTTATTTCAGCCTCGGAGAAGATTTACGGTGTGGTTAGAGCAAAGCAGAAGAGCAGCCCCAAGACCTGGCAAGCTCCTCCGGAGGGAGTCATAAAGCTTAATTGTGATGCGTCGCTTCGTGATGATGGGTGGATTGGGCTAGGTGTGGTAGCACGAAACAGCCATGGTGAGGTGTTATTTGCGGCTTGTAGACGCTCCAGATCATATTGGACTCCAATTATTATAGTTGAATGCAAGGCGGTGGTGATGGCTACGAGACTAGCAAAGCGCTATGGGTTCAAGGATATTGTGATTGAGTCCGATTGCCAGGCTTTGGTAGGAAGGCTATGTAAAGGCTCTATATTTCTCACTGATCTCGATAGTATACTTAGGATGTGCTTAACATTTGTAACTCTTTTAACCCTATCTCTTGGTGTCATGTGAAACGGGAGGGCAATAGTGTAGCTCATCATTTAGCCCGTATTGGCCTGTTGGTTGTGAACAAGTATGGGAGAACCATAGTCCTTGTGAGGTCTCCCCGTATGTATTGATGGATAAATTACTAATATAAGGCACGCCATCCGTTTTCCTAAAAAAAAACACTTCCTTAAATGGAAATACTCAACACTATTTTATTATATCCCTTTCCTCAAATGGTCCCCACTCCTACCCTACTCACACTTTTATAATATTTCTCTTCTCTCACATCCCTTACTTTTACATAAACTATTCACCCACTATCACTTTCTTTTCTTTTTTTAATTCCCAACAAACCCCACTTACACAATATCATTACAAATTCAACTCAATCGCACACAACTCTATGCTAGTCAAATTAAAATGTCTCTAGGCTAAGACTTGAGGGGCATATAAATAGGCACAAAGGCATCATTTGCATATCATAAAGGGAATGCAAGCAGTCTTTTTCAAATATTTTCTCAAATTATTCTTCCTTCATCCTTTCCCCCACATCTCATAGACAAAGTGTGGGTGAGGAAAAATGGACACCAAGTGCGCATCAAAGAGTGTACATACAAATAGCTAGTGAGACACACTTGTGTGCAAAACTTCCTACATCCAAGAAGTGTAACCTTGGTACCTAGACACAAGAGGTGTACTTGAATAAGGATGGTGCAAAGCTAGCACTGCCAGCATTATATATCACCTCATATTATGTCATCGATATAGGAAGCCCTATTGCAACAAGTGCCAAGTGGCATACAGTATGTGGCGTGGTTTGCAAACAAACAAAGTAATTAACACATGACAAAGCACCTAAATTCCTCTCTCTTCCTATCTTTACCTAGCCCCACACTTTACTCTCCCGCTCTCCTCTTTGCATTACCAAGCCCCCACACATTTTTCTCTTCCTCTCCAACCCCAACCCCCTCTCTCCTCTTCCCAATTACCTATGATAATGACTGTATGGCAATCCCAATAGGTAGGAGAAAGAGAGAAAAAGTTGTGAAGTAATCTTCTAAAAAAAATTATTCGCTCTCAGCCTCCAACTTTCTTAGCAACCTAACTTGCACCTTTCTAACCTTTAAGGATGGAGTAGCAAACCATTATACACAACAAAGAACTCTACTTACTATTCAAACAGCTAAATCTCAACAAATAATTACGTATATTGTCCATGAAAGCTACACAATGTTGTAAAAATCACGACCTAAATCGTATGACCATACAATCCGATCTAATATAACCAAACAACTCGGGTCGGTCTAAAATCAGATACATGTAGGATCACCCATAGGATCCCTCAAAATCATTGGAAGCAACCATAGGATCATTAGAATCGTATCTTGATCCAACATCCTTGTAATTGTCTATATATTGTGCATGATAATACAATTTTGAAAATATTTAATCATAAAAATGCACATCAAAGAGATGTCATTTGACTCATAGGAAAATTAATTTCTCTCATCTTCCAACCCTTCATCAACAATACCACTAATAACAAAATCAAATTGCAATATCAAATCACCACTTACAAACAAAAAATAAACAAACAATTAACAATTAAAAAAAAAATCAAATTTTAGTGTCCTTTAATAACAAAATGAGTAAACAATCAACATTTTTAGTAGAGGTGTCAAAACCACACCCGACCCGATCTGAATAACCGACCCGAATAATATAAGATTCAGATTTCGACTCGCATGGACACAATAAGTTAGCATGACTTAACTTTAAAAATTGACCCGACCCGGTCCAACCTCATCGAACCCGATCCGAATACCTGAATCGGCACCTCTAATTTTTAGTGCAACTCATAAAGTCTACAAATTTGTAGGGTCGTACAATCCGATCCCAATAGCCCTTTTCTAGTTCAAAGTAGAATCTCAATCCTAATAACATTAAAGCTTCCACACCCCAAAAATAGAAATAATCAATAGAAATAAGGGTAAAAAGAAGCAAGCAGCTTACTTTATAATTATATATTTGACGACGTGAAAAGGTAACTATGCAATCCCCCTTTTTTATATTCGTAAATGATCCAAGAGGCACCTTTGATGGTTCCAGAGGTGATAACCTATCATAATATTTTATCTGCATAACAAACAGGGATAAAAAAAAAAAAAAAAAAAAAAAAAAAAAAAAAAAAAACAATGAAAGAAACAACATATATTAGCTGATAAAGAAGCAAGATTGGCTCTTGGCACAAACTTTAAAGAAGAGATCAAGGAGAGTAAATGACAAATCACAATAATAAAGCAGCCAATACCCTTACACATCCCTCTTACCTGTGTTCAAATTATTTGAAAAAATTTGTCCGTTTACCTTCTCTAATTAATTCCTCTAAGTGTGTGCCATGAGGCAATATAGCTTGTCATAGTCTTTTGAGGCAATATATTTATATCAACTTCTTTTAGTCTTTTGAGAATCTTGTCATTCTATATTATGATCTAATTCATATTAGTTAATTTTAAATTCATTATTTTTTAGTTGACAATACCAAATTCATGAGACTCGAAGGCTTAAATAAGATGTGGTAGCGTTAAATTAGAGGGCCAAGGCTATATTCTTTCTAACAAAAAACCAGTTATCATACTTTACAATAGTTAATTCTATTACTTAGACAAGTTGATACATTCTTTGAACTTATAATCTGAGTCATCACGCATGAACAACGTTATTTGTAATATGATAGTGTAATTCTCTTCTACATAAATTTGATCCAGATACTAGTGATAGCACAATTACACCGGTAGAGCATTTGAATAATGCTATATAGCCATAAGGTGTGGCATTTGATAATCGTTCTAGGGTAGAAAAACCTAATTTAATGCTCATCCGAATCACAGCAAGTGTATTAAATGTTTAGTTCTTACAAGTGAAGTTTGCTAGAATTAGATTCAACTTACTTTCTTAATTGTTCATGAGCAAGAAAATGAATTGATCACAGCCATAATTTTGCATTTTAATTGCTAATATTATGTCTACATGGACTTGAATGAAAGGGCTTATATTTGTCAAAATCTTTTATAATCCAACCCGTACTAATTGGTGGCTTGTAAACATTAATTGGTAATCTTGGTAATCATCACGACCTCCATTTCAAAATATTTGAGCCACAGAAGGTGCCAAAAGGGCACTAAAGCAGGTGCGCCTTTTTTAAGTGAGGCGCCCTATAAAACTATTTTTAAAAAAAATGACCACAGTGCGCCTTAAGTGCCCCTTTGAATGCACCTTGCCTAGAACCCAAAAAAAAAACCCACTCTACTCTAATCGCCTAATACCACAGCGTTTAGGCATACACCAGGGACAGCACCAAATTCTAGGATCCCATGGGATGAGGAGAGGGATAGAGAGTTAAAATGAAAAACCCATGTCATGAAAAGACTGATACAAAGAAATCATTAGTCAAATAAAGTAATGTTACAATTCTTTTTAACTTTCCACAAAAAGAAACTTTTACAACAGATTTTAAACGACAAAAGTAGTTTGTAAATATTTGAAAAAGTTATTATTGAAATGGTACAATAGTGTCCATACTCCACAGTGACCCCATGGAAACAATGCCCTAACATATACTAAATAGTTTTATTATATTATTTAGGTGATTTTAGTGTCTTTAATGACATGCTAACACTTGAAAGCCACATAACTCAGAAAATAGATTTTTAAAAAAACAAAAAATTCAATACTAACTCGAATAACATTAAGGAGCTATTTGGTTGGGGGATTTCAAGTAGGAAAAGGGAAACATCTCCCATATTTTCCAATTGAAGTGTTTGGTTCAAGTCATTTAGTTTCCACTCCTTAGTTTGGGGTAATAAATTATCATAACCTGGGTCATCTTGCTTCACCACACCCCTCTCCACCCCCCCAAACACCCCCCCCAGGAAATTGAATTCCCCTTAAACCCTCAAAGTCCTTCCACCACTACCACAGACACCATTCTAATCTCAAGATGGTAGATGCCACCCAACTTTAACCCCATTGTTGGCACCATCATCCTGCAGCAGTCATCACCATTCCACCCAATGCTCATCCATACACAACTACTTTACCACCACCAATAGCCACCACATCATCTTCAACCAACCCAAAATTCCTATTTGACTTCCATGTAGCACATGAGAACTCACAACCTAGTGATAGATGTTCCTTGAAACTAAATGAGGTTCTTAGTCATGGTTCAACCACACCATAAACATTCGACCGAGTGAAGTAAACAAACAAGCTCTATATGCAAGGACTATGCAATCCTTGAAAAGCCCTGATTTGAAATTACTAATATGTAGCAACAAGCTTTCACCCCCTCACTAAGTTTTGTGAGCTAAAATTATGGGCAACTATGATATGAAATAAAGGGAGGGTGGGTGGTTGAGTAAACATGCTAGGAAGTTATAGGGATTTGAATGCTTTTCCACTCCACTCTCTTTCTTGTTTCCTTTCCTTTCCCCACCCACAAACAAAATAAGATAGTGCACTACCAATCAACACCTAGAAGATCAAAAAGATATGCACATGATTGAAGCATTCATAGGTAGCAATTTTTGAGAACATTCAGAATCTATGCATGCTTCAATTATCAATTAGGTGACAATTAATAGCTGTGGGATATAATTAAAAATGAAAATATATTTATCAGAAAGCTGCTGATAATGTAAAAAAAAAAATGTTTGATTTATGAAATACCTAACAATCTCTCAAACCGGGAAAAAAAACTACCTGTAAAAATGTCTGTTTTTATTAAAATTAACCCCCTCTCATGTGACTACTATAATCTTTATAATTGGGATTTGTCCAAGCAATTTTTTTTTATTATTATATAATATGTTACACTATGTAACTTATGTAATTTATTATCCATATGAGTATGTCAATTTTTAAGAATATAACATGTTATGTAAAAATAATGTAAAATAAATATTAACATTAATTATAGAGAGTATGACCACATGTTTTCTTCATACATGTAGCTAAAGGTGGGCAACGTGCCGTGTCGAGCCGCCGCGGGTCGTGCCTGGCGAGCCACGGTCTTCGGCGTGCCGGGACGTGCCGTGCCACCGTGCCCGAAGAGTCGTGCCACCCAAAATCGCAGGCCAGCCCACGACACGGCACGGCCCACATGCCGAGCGGGCTCGTGCCGGGCTGGCCTGCATGCTAGCCTGTCGTGGGCCTGTGTGCCGCCACTGTGCTGCTGCTTTGCTTTGCTTCTTTTTTTTTTTTTTTAATGTTTATACTTTATAGTTTATACTATTATTTTTCTAAAATAAAATAAGTTTAATATTTATGTTTTATTATTTATTATATTAATATTTATATTTATATTAAGTTTATACTATTACTTTATAGTTTAATGTTTATAATTTATTATATTTATTTTTGTATTATTAATTATTAATTATTATAATTTTTTTTTGTTATATTAATTTACAAATTATAACTTAACGGGAAAAAAAGGCAAATTGGACTTTGGATGTGAATAATGCATACTTCATATTATTATTACTTGAAAAAAATGTACAATGATAATAATAATGATAAAAATCGTACAAGGATATTAAACAAAAATTAGATAATGTTAAAAATCGTACAATGATAATATTTATAATGATAAAAATCGTACAACATACAAAAATTGTCTATTCTTCTTCTTCTTCTTCTTCTTCTTCTTCTTCTTCTTCTTCTTCTTCTTCTTCGTCTTCGCCTTCAAGTTCATCGGCTAGTTGAATAGATTGGGAATCAGGCCAAGCCGAACGGTCGGAAGCGGAAGTTCCTTCATCGCTGTTGTTGTCGTCGTAAGTACGGTCTTGTGAGCGATTTTCAGCATCTAACTAATCTTTGAAACACACGCACATTTCAAGTGTTTCGGGTTTTAGACTTGTTCTTCTATCGTCTAAAACCCTCCCGGATGCGCTGAAAGCTCATTCGGAGGCAACGGAGGAGACTTGGACATCAAGAATGTCTCATGCCATTACCGCCAAAGTTGGATGCTTCGAGCTTTGTTGTTTCCACCATGCAAAGAGGTCGAGGCTGTTTATCTCATCGTCGTCCATGCCCTTGGTGAAGTCGTAATTCAGGTACATTTGCAACTCCGAGACATTGCTTTGCGTTCTCCTTATTGATGAATCACCTGAAAACCTTGAAATCAAGTTAGTAGCTTGTAAAAATAAATGCTTGACATTTATACATACATTTTTGGATGGTTGGGAAGGGCCAGAGCGAGGAACGGTGCCATATGTGGTTTCATAAACTCTATATAAAGCAAAAAAATGATCCTTCACATTACTCTTATAGATTTCTACATTACCGTCAATAAGCATGCATTGAAAATAAATGTCAACTAACATAAATGTATTTTCATACTTTTGCCTAGGACCTAATATGGAAGCAAAAATATAAATTAAAAGAATTTCAGTATAATATTTACGCCACTTTGTTTCCATTGCTGGAAGATATTGATCATAATCACTTTGGTTGCGATGATCAACGAAAAGTTGAGCAAGTAAACATGCATTTGAAAGAAAGTTTTGAGCACAAGGATTATAAACAAAAGAAAAACAAAATGTCATGTTACATAATAATTGTTTGGAAACATGTCATAGGTGGAATTCCACCTAGTTGGATAATATATCTTTCACATTTATCCCAATCATCCTCATATATAGTATTGTTTGGAAATTTTTTGTTGTAAAAAATTGTTAAAGGATTCTTATATTCAATTGCCTTAGTTAACATGTCATAGGTGGAATTCCTCCTAGTTGGACAATTGGTTTTGATTTTTATTGCTCTTATCTTTTGTTGTCTTAAAAAACTTTTCATTATTGGTATCTCATGTTTGAGCTATTTATAGACATGATAGCTTCTCTAATTTTGTTATAGTATGGACCAATTGCTCTAATTCCATTTTGTACACATAAGTTAAGAACATGGTAAACACATCTAGTATGAAGTGCGTCACCATCTAATATTACATCGGTTAAATTTTGTTTCACATAATTAGCAGTATATGTCATTGAGGTTGCATAGTCAAATGTCATAGACATGATTTTTTCTCTAAGGTTGTATTCATTTATAGCTTCCATTAATGGTGAGCAATGTTAATACCGGTGTGGGGGTATTCTAGCATTTTTTAAATGGATCATTCGTTTTTGTAACAACCATTGATCATCTACCCAATGGCAAGTCACACATAAATAGTGATATTTATAACCACTATCCCAAGAATCGGCAGTCAAAGACACTCTACAATTAAGTTTACTCAATTCGTCTTGTAACCGCATTTTGTACTCTAGGAAGTTTTTCATGGCGGCGGAACGAACGG